AATATACGACACGTCGACACAACCGAACTGTCAACTGACTGACCCCATTCACCGTCGCCTAGTCGGAATCAGTGAATCGCTGAATCTATGAGTTTGAAATGTAGTCAGTACTCAGTAGTTTCGTTTTATGGAGTAGACACCCAATAAGAAAGGATTATTCAAATATCGTTCCATAAAGGGTCGAAAATGGGGTTCAATAAGTTCAATATATCGATCAACGCATAGCCCAAACCGCTGGGACTAAATTTAAAAAGCCAAGAAAATACCGCCCACTGCAATAAGTCTGTTGGCGCAGTGGCACTTCTATGTATTTTAGTACAGAATGTCTTGGGTTCGAATCGCGGTTTCAGATGACCAATTTTTGAATTCTTTTTTTCTTCTTATTTTTACTGATTAATTTATCATGCGTCACACTTCGCACACACGAATGTTTGGTATAACTTTGAATTTTGATACTTCAGAATTAAATTTATACACTTTTGTAGGCATCTTGAGCGGTCCGCGATCAACCGCAGGTAAATTGTCTACCTGATAATATACTGCTCGCATAATCGATAATCACAAACGAATCTCACAGACAACGCCGGTCGGGATGACCGTAAATTAAAATATAATTTAATTTACACTCAAAAGACATTGCTTCCACAACGATTTCCACCCAACAGGTACACAACTTTCTAATTTGTAATTGCACTATAGTCTATACATTATCCTATTGTAATAGGACTCACAGTAGGTACGTATATTTGAAATAAATAAATACATTTTGTATGCGGAGGCCAAATAAATATAATATAAATTTAAAACATTATTGATTGACTATTGGATCCCCCCACATCCAACGTAGAAAATTCTTGGGTACACCACTAGCACAAACACCTACACAATGCCAATTATATTATAATTTATAATAGAATATTAATATTAGCCACTACCTTGATAGTATATTGAAATTCACATAGTTTTTACTAGTATACTCATACTTATGCACAGTGGCGTATTTACGGGGGTGGTCCAGGGGTACTGGACCCCCCCCAGAATCTCTCCAAAAAAAAAAAATGTATTAGATATTTGCAAACCCCGATATTTATGTAAGCCCACGCAGACAAGGTTTTTTCCCGTGAACAAAATATTTATATGAAATATTAGTTTAAAATTAGCCAACGACCGAACGTTCAAAAACCCGTGTAACTAAACTTATCCTTGTATTGTAGTATTACACTTTATAAAATAGGTACCCATATTAGATAAACATCAATAATTCTCAAAAAAGTCAAAACATTCTTATCGCAAGAAATTGACGACGCACATCATTCTCCAATAAACTATTTCTATAGGACAGTATAGCTGGTAGCTATTATTTATCTATTTGAATTTTTGCTTTGTAAACACGGCAATTGTCGTAGAATCATTTACTAATATTACTTCATGTTTGTATTTTGTTACCGAACGACGGAGTCGGCTACGAGTGCAGCATGTATTTGAATATTATTTCTTCAATAAAATATATTAGATCTATTACTTATGTAAGTACAAATTAAATATACACCTAGTAAATTATGTAGTAAATAATAATAATAGCTCATTGATCCGATGTTGGCAGTAAAGAATTTATTATTTTTTATAATAACATAAAACATTAATGCAGTGCTGTAACTAGGCTACTTGAGGTCTGTGTGCAAAACCAAAATATTGAGGCCCCTTATTATCTTTTTCAATACACACCTCAAAAACTTTTTTTGCAATTTTTAAAGTCAGCAGGCAAAAATTCGGGCTTAAACAAAAAAAAATTTAAATTTATATTTAAAATAATCTATAATTTTAAAATAATTTCTCAAGGCTATAAATAACTCAAAAAAGTAAAAATTTCCAAAATGTAATTTATTGAAAATATTAATATAAATATTTGGTGAAAACTTCAATGGTCTACGGACTACGGTTGTTCGTTTTCGAGTTATACCAAAAAATAACATTTTTGTTTTAGGTAAAAATGACAATTTTTTTTTTTTTGACACTTTTTAATATTTAAAACTAAAAATTTCGGTTTCGATCTAAAAAAGTACCAACTAGATTCACTTTTCTAACAGAAAAAATGCTGATCTCGAAATTCGAAATATTTTTACTACCCAATGTTGATGACCGACAGAAATGAAAAAATTATACACATCTTGTAAAATCAGTACATTTGTTCGTTCCTCTCAAAATCTAAAAACAGTGATCACGACTCCAGGCAATATAAAAAAAAAAATGAAATAACATTGGTTTCGTTTCCAAATCAATAATAAATAATTTATATATTTTAATAATTTTATATTAGTTTAATATTAGTCTTTAGATCTTTTGAGGCCCTTCGATATATATATGAGGCCCGAGGCCTGTGTGCGGTGCACACTTTGCACACCCGGTTTTTACGGCACTGCATTAATGTAATTTTTGGAGTCTACTGGCCGACAATTAGTATTCATTTAGAACCATGTTTACCTACTTAGTATTTATTTTCTGTGCAGAGGTTAGCAGAGTGATATGGACGACTGTCGTCATAAAGTCATATTATTTCTACAATTTAAACCTTTCATTATTTTTACGTGTTAACACGAAGTTGACAACATAATATTATTAAACGGCTATCGAAATAATATTAATTGTCAACGTGTACTGAGAATAATTATTGTCTCTCATTTGTGATAGGTGTAAATACAGATTTGCCAAAACCTAACATTTCATAATTATTTAATAAATGCTATCAAATTTATTTTTTTTATAGTTGTATAATTTATAATTTATTTGTATCCATTTATTGTTTGGAAATTGGAATTGGAATAAATATGTCTTCAAATAAAAAAATAAAACTTTGTAAAAAAAAAGACACTTGGATTTTGTACTTGAAAATTATAAAATATAATAAAACAACTATTTTTTATTCTTATAATCTATTAAAAACTATTTCTATAAATCAGTACCTATATCTATATTATGTTGGAATTATTGGACCACCCCCAGAAAAAAATTGAAAATACGCCACTGCTTATGCAGGTCCGCATTTAGGGAAGGGCGCTGGATACAAGTATACAACTGGCCAGCAGTATTTTAGGGGCGCCAACATTTTGTGGTCAGAAATTTGTTTGCTTGTGAATTATTAAAATTTTATAATTTTAATTATTTTAATAACAGTATTATATACATATATAGTATTATGCTGTTTGAAATTAATTTAATTAATATTAATTTGCAGTTTTATATGACTGTATTTTATTTATTCATGAAGTACCTACTTAAATAAGTTAAAAAAAAAACAACTTATATGATGAGTTATAAGCAAGGTTTAAGTGACATAAATTCAAATGTATCTTTGGGAGAGAGGATCAAGCAATAACTAACCAATATTTTTTGAAAAAGCACCCATTGTAAAACAAATATTTTTTTCTGTGCTCAAAATCTAAAAGGTTAATGAGGATCCATATTTTCCTAAGGTAGGGGGCCTACCACAAACACCTACACAATGCCAATTATATTATAATTTATAATAGAATATTAATATTAGCCACTACCTTGATAGTATATTGAAATTCACATAGTTTTTACTAGTATACTCATACTTATGCAGGTCCGCATTTAGGGAAGGGCGCTGGATACAAGTATACAACTGGCCAGCAGTATTTTAGGGGCGCCAACATTTTGTGGTCAGAAATTTGTTTGCTTGTGAATTATTAAAATTTTATAATTTTAATTATTTTAATAACAGTATTATATACATATATAGTATTATGCTGTTTGAAATTCATTTAATTAATATTAATTTGCAGTTTTATATGACTGTATTTTATTTATTCATGAAGTACCTACTTAAATAAGTTAAAAAAAAAACAACTTATATGATGAGTTATAAGCAAGGTTTAAGTGACATAAATTCAAATGTATCTTTGGGAGAGAGGATCAAGCAATAACTAACCAATATTTTTTGAAAAAGCACCCATTGTAAAACAAATATTTTTTTCTGTGCTCAAAATCTAAAAGGTTAATGAGGATCCATATTTTCCTAAGGTAGGCCCCTTAGGCGGGACCAATTTTTTTTCACCGGGGATAAGGGGGTGCTAATTTTTTTTTTTTGCACCCAGGCTCAAAATGTCAATGTGGCACTGTACTTACTACTTATATTCACAACTTAATACTTTCCATAAATAGTTCCTAGTTTCATATAATATAATATTATTGTATTTACCTATGAACAATATAATTTCTGAGACACACTACAATAAAATAACATTTGTTCATATTATACACGATTTATTATTGTTCACAAGTCAAAAAACATCATACACATTTACATTTGGTTGAAATTATAATCTTGGTCGTAATTATATATATATCATATTTACGAATAATTATTACAATTCATCGTCGATATATTTCTATTACGTTATAAAAACCCTTAAACGCGAATCAATCATTATGTTATACATATTCTTATCGTGATTTATTTATATATTTACATTGATAATAATAATAATCAAATTAATTAAATCTAAATGCGGACGAAAAATCTTAATTGTAGAAAATGTAATTGTTTTTTAAACCATTTCAAGAAATAATATGTACACACACAATATATTGTTGTAGTCATAATAGTGTAATAATAATTAATAATAATGTATAATCAATATTGATAGAATAGTAATAATATTAAGTAATAATAGTAGTCAAAAATTGTCCGCGTCTATAAAAATTCTAAAAATGAATTTTTTTCAATTGTAATAATTGTCATTGTATTTACATTATAATAGTAATAATAATAATAATAATAATAATAATAATAATAATCATAATATAAAATAAAAATAAAACAATCAATAAAATTCGCTGATTTTGCGTATACTTATTAAGCGATGTAAATATTTTATGATATAAACATTGTTTGTTTTATACTGTGTATGTTTGGTGTGCACATCAACAAAAAATGACAAGGCATTTTAAGTATTATGTGTATTAATTGGCAGTGTTATTTACAATCCCATGTGTTGTTGCTGTTGTTGGGAAGCGGCAGACGCTGGAGATTTTTTGTCTCCACCACCAGATATGGAATCGCCAACGCTATTTGGACCACCATTGCTTCCAGGGTTTCCATTACCTCCAATAGATGATCCACCTCCGGCTCCAGGATTACTTCCAGGATTCTGTTGCTGTTGTCCACCACCACTATTTTGTCCTGATTGACCACCACTTGGAGGTCCTCCACCGCTGCCACCACTACTAGGTGGTCCAGTGACCCAAGAGTTTTGTTGCTGTTGCTGAAGGCCATTGGGATTATTTGAAGATGATGACTGAGAAACCACACCTCCACCACCACTACCACCAGTCGGCGTGCCTGGGGCGCTGCCATCTGCCCCAGATCCGGGTGGTGGAAATAGAGAATCGCCACCCATTAGACCACCTGGTCCCATTTGTCCTCCAGGTCCACCAACACTCATTGGACCTCCGGGTCCCATTGGTCCTCCACCGCCACTGACTGATCCCATTCCACCAGGTCCACCTCCACTACCTGGTCCCATACCACCAGGTCCACCTCCACCACCACCAATATGCTGTTGTAGATCGTTGCCTCCTGCTGAACCTACGGAACCTGGACCACCAGGACCAACACCCATCACTGACGCTGCAGCTGAGTTAGCAGCTGCAGCTGCAGCAGCAGCGGCGGCAGCAGCAGCAGCTGCCGCGGCTGCAGCATCATACTGGGTGTTTTCCAGTCGTGTGATCAAACGTTCATCTTCATCTCCAAATTCACCGCCCATCAGTGATGGTTCTCCAACAACCATCACGTCCTGATTGATACAAAAACAATTATTAATAAAAATAATTTCATAGTTCAACAATATATTAATTGTCTGCACATGGTTAGACATGTCATATGTTTTTATATACCGTAACCGTACCTGTGATGCTAGGTTGAACCCTGCGCCACCGGCTCCACCACCCCCACCACCACCACCATTTGGTCCTGGGCTCCGTTTCTTTGACGCAGCAGTTGGCCCACCACCTGGTCCGCCACCAGGTCCACCACCACCGAGTGTGGTTGGTGGACCTCCACCAGCTCCAGAGTTACTGCCCTTGCGTTTGCGCCTTTTGTTGGCTGGTCTCTGTGATTCTGTTAAGTACACAAACACATTCATTTTTTTTGTATCATATTTTATTAAATAACTATTAAAAAAGTAAAGTAATTGTTTGGGTGTGACCAATTGTCAGTAACAAAAGACGATGATGAAAGCAAAAACAGATATAATTGAACACAACTATATTGGCCGCTGCCTTAGGTAACTCTTAGTAGGTTAGAGCAACGGTTCCTAACCAAGGGTAAGCAAAAAAAAAATTGGGCAATGGCGATAGAAGGTAGAATTTGTTTATTTAAAATTATTTGTTTTGGAAATATGCAATATATGTTATTAAAAATTAAAACTTTTCACAAAATAAAAACTTAACCATCAATTTATTTTATAGATATGGAGTATAGAATGTAGATTATAGAATATTATATATAAATATAGAATACTATATGATAACTGGTATAGACGTTATGTGAAAAAGTATAAAAGTTATAATAAGAGGTACAATCTAGCAAAATATTAAGCTTAGGGGTACGGAAGGAAAAAAGCGTTGGGAACTACTGGATTGGAGTACATGTTTATAGTTTACTGAAAGTGTATTAATAAGTATTTTTTTTTTTTTATTTCATCATACAAACATTAATTTAAGTTACCGAATATGTTTATAGATCATACTGTTATTTTAATGTTAATATTACCTGGTGGTGCTACCATACGTTGCCACTTTTGAAATAGAGTAGTCTTCAGACAGTCTCTAGGACTGAGCGCATAAGCTTTGTGCCTAGACATAAGTTCTTGCATGGGTTCCAATATGACGCATAGCTACATTAAATACACATTAGATTTAATTTAATATAACTAAAACTAATTAAAATTCACAATAGCAAACAGTAATACACTTTTGAGGTCCATAATATAGAAGCATTAAACTCTATTCAATTTTGAATTTAAAACCATTTTTTCCGAGAAGGTAGAATATTGTTGTTACATTGTTAAAAAGAATTAAATATGATATTTAAAATAGTCTAGTTGTCTAATACTTACTCTCAGGTAATTGAGCGTCGAATTAGTAATGCCCTGTCGTGTGATGTTTTTTGCCACTTGTTGGTGAACGATTTCAGCATTAGGTGGTGGGGGCCCACCTGGTGGACCTCCATCACCACCACTTCCAGGTCCTCCTTGCTGCATCATAACAACCGCCGCAACAGCTGCGGCTGCAGACGACCTTGGAACCAATTCCCTGTGTTGCCTAACTGCTAAATGCCACGTCCGAATACGCATCATATCATCATACGTGAATTCCAACGTTAGCCTACCCTCAGTGCACACCCTGGTATATACGGGCGGTGATGGAGGTCCTCCTGCACCACCCATCGGTCCACCGCCACCAAGCACTGTGAAAAAATAAGAATTTACTTATCACATACCTACATAAAATGATACACTAGTCATTAAACAACTAGTGTATACAAACATTGTTTTCGCATATTCAACGATACACAGCAGTTTGAGCTACATGGTATCATTCGAGAATAAAATACAAAATAAAATATATTTGATAATCTGGTACCAAATAGAATCAGGTCACATGACATTGACAAACCAACTTTGTCAAAAAATACACTTTTAACAAGAATAGTCAAGATAGCAATCCTTATTAATGCATTGACCATATTTACAAATATTTTCTTTAGGTCTATTATTATTTCATAATATGTTAATAATTTTGTTGCCTATATGCAAATAATTGCTAGAATGACTCAAAACTGTTTAAAATTTTAAAAGATTAAATAAATAAATAGAAGTACTTATTATTTGCAATCGTAAAAAAAAACTGACCCCTAGTTATAAGAACTTTTTTCAATTTATAATTATTGAAATAACTCGACAAATTCAGTTCAAAATTAGTATTTAATACTTTAATAAATAGATAAATGATATAATTTTATTTATTAAACAATATATACTTGATTATGAGTGATTATTAAAAAAATTTAACCGCACGTACCAGATTGCTGTGATGACGGAGGACCCTGAGCCACCAAAGATTTCTGCATTCCAATACCACCATTTAGTGATGCGGGGGGTCCTCCTCCGACGCTACCCGGACCACCAGGTCCTGGCGACTGAGCAATGGAAGACGGCGGCCCGCCACCTGGGCTTGAAGTCAAATGTGTGGTTACCATGGTACAGTGATCGCAGTCCAGAGTAAGACTGGTATTGTGAAATGACTCCTTGGTGGCATTAGCTCTCAAATGATAATACAGATCAGTAACTCCACCCTCAAATATTGACCTAAAGTATCTAGGAATAAGGGTCCGTCCTATAGCTATACAGGTATGTCCAAAAATAAATAAACTCAATTAGTATTGTACTAAATAGTATAAAGTTAAACGCCGATTATTATACTTACAGTATCGCTTAGGACCATCTTCTAAGCAAAATGTCAGTGTTAACGTGGCATCATCTTCAAAAAACTCGGTGGCGAACTGGTCCCACCATACATTGTCACTGTCCTATAACCAAATAAATGGATAGTATAAATAACTAATAGGTCATACAAATTTAAATGAATTGTGTACTTGAATTTGTTTGTATTTTCACAACTATATAGTTATAAAACTCATAAAATTCTTAAGTTAAAATTACATTTCATTCTAGCTCTAGAGTTATAAAATGGACATTTTACCTCATTACGATTTTGCAGCCTTTTATTTAATTCAAATATCCGATAATCAGGCTGCACATGATGTGCATGTGGTGGGTGTGGGTGTGGAGGTGGTGGAGGTCCATGCGGACCACCATGATGCGGAGGGCCATGTGGATGATGTGGTGGCCCATGTGGTGGAACTCCTGCTCCACCGTGTGGATGAAGTGGGACACCACCTCCATGGTGTGGTGGTCCACCGCCGCCATGTGGGTGAGGAGGTCCACCATGGGGCCCACTTCCAGGTGGGCCACCATGGTGTGGAGGACCTCCATGGTGGCCTGGAGGTCCACCACCACCATGATGTGGAGGGCCACTGGGTGGTCCTCCGTGGTGTCCTGAAGGACCACTATGGTGCACGCCACCGCCTAAATGTCCTGGAGGTCCACCGTGCGGACCTCCTAACACGCTACCACCATGATGTCCTGGTGGTCCACCACCATGATGACCAGGTGGTCCACCACCATATCCCCCGGGTCCACCGTATCCTCGGCGACCACCCCCACCACCACCACCACCACCAGGTCCACTGGGTCCTCCTACCATTGACGATGGGAAACACCTGGATATGACAACAAATTATTAAATTACTACTAATTGTAGCACAGAAATTTAAATAAAGATATTATTATCATTAAACATTGTGGTAGAGAATAATTATCTTTTTATAATGATAAACTTACGATGGATGATCAACCATCATGCGACCAGGTGCGTCTGCGGCATTCATCATTCCTCCGCCAGCTCCACCACCACCGCCATGATGATTCATCATCTGCTGTTGTTGGCTAAATGGTGATCCAGGAGGCATGGGGCCACCACCACTACCACCATAAAATTGTTGACCACCGAATGGTGATTGTTGAGGAGGCGGAGGTCCAGAACCGGGGCGATTGCTTCCAGGGCCACCGCTACCGAATCCTCCACCACCAGAACTGACTGAAGATGGTGATCCAAAAGGCATCTGAGCTCCACCACCACCACCATTAAATGGTCCGCCGCCACCTCCATGCTGGCTGTTTGGTGTACCTGGTCCACCACCATAAGGTACAGGAGTTGAAGACCCACCACCACCGGGTGTTGATGGGCTGTAGTGTTGCTGTTGTTGATGTTGAGGAGTACTGTTGCCACCACCACCGCCACCGTAAGGGCCACCTCCAGGAGCGGGAGATCCTTGTTGCTGATGGAACAATGATGGGGACTGGTGACCTTGCTGTTGATGATGTTGCTGGTATGGACCACCACTTCCAGGTCCTCCAGGGCCACCACCATATCCCATGCTAAACGGATCTCCAGGACCACTGCCTGGTCCTCCTGGACCTCCACCAGTTTTCCACGAAGAAGCTGCTGCTGCTGCAGCTGCAGCAGCTGCGGCAGCGGCGGCCGCTGCTGAGCCTCCAGGTCCTCCAGGCACACCGCCGCCACCTATACCATCATCTACTAGAGTTGCAGCTAAAGCTACAGCTGAGCCACCTCCTGCATTACCAGCTCCGCCAACACTGCCACCTCCAGCTCCTCCACCCCGTCTACTGCATCCAGCTAAAATAAAGAAGCAAGAAAAAACATTATCATAATTATATAGGTAGGTACTTGAACTTTTGTAATTGAATAACACCATCTAATGTCTTTATTAAATTCTTAATTTTAAGATATACCTAAGTTCTTTGTACATTTAACAATGTAAAAAATAATTTGTAATCGTGGTTAGGTATATTCCTTGGTATATTCTGAACATTTTAAAAATACATGTGTATCTTTGTCTATTACTTCATACTTAGCTAGTTGTATTGGGAACCAAACTAATTGGATTATCTATAGAATTGTTAAAAATAAAAATGATATACCTAGTACAGTATCCAATGGTAGAATACTTTAAATAATATATTTATTTATTTTATAAATTAATGATGTATAGTCGACATGAATATTAAATGTTAATCATTTATTTAGACATAACTTTGCATTAAACTTGGATCTTTTGGATGGCACAACATTTCAAATCTTCAATATTGTTATACTATTTTGTATTCCTTACTGTCATTTGGTTCTATACTGAATATTATTTTAATTTCTACTAACTTAAATTATCAACAACTCATACTACTACTACTTACTAATGCTAGGTTTACACGTGCATGTTTACCCATGCAAGTTGAGGCGCCAGTGAGGTGTAAACATGTTCTGGCGCGCAAGTGAAAATAAAAGTTGGAATATTCCAATATAACTGGCGAGCTGACGGGTAGATGATGGCGCCACAACAAACATGCACGTGTAAACCCATCTTAATAGTTGTCATGTTTCAATGTAGAGGTAACTAATGTTTATATTTAAATGTATAATATTAACGCTGGATTGCATGAACAAGCACTAAATATTTAATTAATTAAAAGTTATAAAATGGCTGCCAAACATAATTTAGTGGCCCGTAAAATTGATCCATAAAATTTTAGAGAACCATTAAATGAATAATGCAATTTGCATATGATTATTAATATATTGCCTAATATCTTGAGTTAAAAAAATTAATAAGCAGGTATAAATTATTTAAGATGTAAGTACACCTCAATGTACACTGAAAACCTACAAATGTACTATTCTCTTTAATACTCCTTGGTCATAATACCATATCAGTATTATTAAAAAATTCACTATTTATTTAAACAATTGTTTAAGTTGCATGTATACCTACATAATATTATAAAATATATTGCATAAATATTGAATTTATCTTATAGGTGACTATATCTTATAACTGCCTGTGTCTTCTTATATCATGTAAATAGATAGTACCTACCTATCAATTATTGTTAAATTTATATTTATACATTAGTCATTAATAACTCTTATACTATAAATTTATAGTGTGTATGTAGGTATTCTGAAAAATTAATATTCAGTATATTTTATACTTACATTTTTTACTACGTTGGCCACCACGTCCCTGCCTCATATTAGTCTTTTTTCGGTAAATGATGAATATTTATTAATTCCAATTTCTAAACGTAAATTCTACTCTTTGAGCTATTGGGTGCAGACAGTTCCTGTTGTTGTCGAGTTCAGTACCAGTGCTTGTGACGATAACCGCCTCCACTGCCACTCGTATCTGGCACCGTCGTTGCATCGATTGCAGCTGTCGACTCCTCTGACATGTTTACAATTTTGCTGACGAACGAGTTAATGAGCGTGTGAATACTGGTATTCACTTGCTCTATTATATGTATTTAGAGATAAAATTACCGTACCGGGCGATATGTCCGTCACAAATCGCCGGCGCGAGGTACGACGAAACGCGCAATGACCGAGTGCACAGTCGCGCGTATTCCGGGCAGTAACAAAAATTCATACGAAAAATAAAAAACCGCGATTTATAAGGCGGGCAGCTCGATTGCGCGAAACGGCGGCACCACACTGGTAACTAACTGACCGGTGTGAGTGCGGACGCGTACTTGCGGCGGGCGGGCCGCGAATACAACAACGACGATGACAATAACAATAACGACTTGTAATTACAGCGCCGACGAAGTCGGTATACGAATAAGCAAAACTGTTGGCGATCGGCACTTGGAATCGAACTAGCTGCGAACTGCGCTCATAGTGGTCGGCACCGCCAGAGTGGTTCCGCGCGCGTCGTTCAGCCGCGACGTGTTTACGGCAAATTCGTAGACGGTGATCGGTTCCGCCGATGTCGGTACGCGGACGCGGGCAGTGGTAGACGGAGCAGAATCGCGGTGTTGACTGGTGGTCGTGGTCGGTTGGTGGTTTGCCGCCGCCGTCGCGCGTATAATATTATTATTATAGAGATAGACGCCGTCCGACGCTGCCACTGCTACCTTGTCATCGCCGCCGTAGCCGTCGGCCGCCGAGAGATATCGATAATAATGTGCGCGCGCGTGAGCGTGTGTGCGTGCGTGCGTTCGTGCGTCCGTGTACATAATACGTATGTGCTATAATAGCGGTCGGTGGGCGGTCGGCGGTGTTGTCGCACTGGCGGGCGGACTGGCGGGCGGGTGGTGGAGATGGGTAGAACGATCGTGTTGCGGCGGCGGGGGAGTGGGATCGGTCGTCGGAGTCGGTGTGGTTGGGTGGTGTGCGGAGTGGAAGGCAATCGAGCGACGGCGTCGCCGCACCGACGCGCAACGGACGTATCGAAACGGTACGCGCACCGGTGACCGGTCCCTGGTAGAGGTTCGCCTCCGTACTTCCGTAGTCCGTACGTGCGACGGTAGTTTACCTCCACCAACCGTTGACGCTTAAGATATTAGATAACATTCCTACATAAGTCCGGCGTATAATTATTGGTTGAACTACTTGCATAGACTTACATAACTATAATACTATATAGTTATTTTTATTTCATTTTTTTAAGTTATGAGGGTATCATCCGCGGATGGCGGCGGTGATCACTAAAATAACAAATTATGAGCCCAGTGCAGATGTACAATACATTTAGTATTTAATAATGCAGATATTAGATAGTAGATGCCATGGAGAACTGAAGCAGGCGATCGCGGGACGCTTATATGGTGAAAGCTGGTAAGTTAACGTAGTTTCTCAAAAACGGCATAATCCATATTGTATTAGGTACCTAGTATCAGCTGGAAGTTTTAACTACCCCAGTCACCGTAAATGGTTGGAAAAATGATTTAGAGCCTAACTCAGTCTATTTCCAGTCAGTACAGTATATAAAAATATACAATAAGTTAAGGATTTTATCAAAAAGTAAATCGTTATTTGTGTAACCAAAATAATAACACAAACAATTTTATTTTATTTTATTATAATAAACGGGTTTGAAAAACTTTTGGAAATGTTACAAATAATTAAATAATTACAGTAACTACAATGATACTTGTAATAGATAAGTAAATTAAATTAAACGTTTTTAAAAATTAAGATAAATATGGAAAAATTAAATCATTAAGCTAGATTAATATTAACAAACGAACATATATATACCTATATATGGTATAATCAAAGATCGATGGAGAATTCCTCATTGGCCATTAACATTAAAAGCCTATAATATAGGCTCATTTTTCATATAATTGATCGGACATATTATAGGGACATAAAAAGGAATAGTAAAACTTTTAGTTCAAGTTGTTTTAGAATAGTAAATCAAATGAATCAACTTGGCCAAACATCAATCTCTTTAGAAAATGTACGCAAAGCATAAGCCTGCATTCGGCTAAAGATGCAAGTCTTAATTATTTAGTAGTAACAGCCAACAGGAGAATGTTCATACCAACAAAACGAAGGAATCGACGCTTTACCCTGAAGTTGAATACAGTTATTAGCAGTAATGCAGTACCTATACCGTATACGGGCCCTAGACAACTATAGGTACCTACACGGCTACACCACATTCCAATATAAGTCGGACTAAGGTACAATAAAGTAGTTTAAATTATAATATTAAAGTCTAATTTATAATCCTTAGCAAACCTATTGATAAATCCAAGAGTCTTCAAGGCATTTTGACAAACCATGTCAATATGCGGTCTTGGATCAAGTGAGCTGGTAAACTCCAAGATTATTATTTATCAGAACTATTTTATTAAAATTATTATTTATCAGTTAGAACTTTGCATGTAGATATATTTAAGGATGAGCCTATATATATGGCTAAATTCCCAATCCCAAACCAATATTTAAAAACATATTCATATCACTTTGGAGATGAAGGCAATGCAAATTATCTATGGAACCAACACGGCAACACGTAAATAGAATAACAATTAAAAATTTTAAAAGGTGGGCAAGTGGGTGTCGCTCTGCTGTACAGTAGGTTACAAGTGGGTCACTGTATAATGGATGGTATTACATTTGAATTCAATGATATTATATCCTTGTATAAGAAAAACGATTCTGAGCGGAGACGGTATATCCTTCTAGGTACAAGACATATTATATAGGTACTTTAAAAAAAATTGACCTATAATGAATTCCAAATTAATCATATCACAATATCCATTAGATACTTATAACGCGTTATACACCAACAACAAACCCTGATACTATCATAGATATAGATTATAGTAGTATACTTTAGAAGTTTCAAGTACCCACGAAAAATATTATACAATCACAACAAAATAACTAAAATAGTTATTCTAGGTTTTTTAATATGTAATTTCGAAGTGGGTGTCGCTCTGCTGTACAGTAGGTTACAAGTGGGTCACTGTATAATGGATGATATTAAATTTGAATTCAACGATATAATATCATTGTAAAAGAAAAACGATTCTGAGCGGAGACAGTATGTCAGTCTAGGTATAAGACATATTATATACATTATACATATCTATGGTACTAAACCAAAATTTGACCTATAGCTATAATAGGTAGGTACCTATAATAAATTCCAAAATTAATTATATCAAAATATCCATTAGGTACTTATAACGCGTTATACATCAACAAAAACCGTGATACTATCATAGATATATAATAGTACACTTTAGAAGTTTCAAGTATCCACGAATAATATTATTCAATCACAACAAAATAACTAAAATAGTTATTCTAGGTTTTTTAATATGTAATTTCGTCTAAATTTGAATTTAAAATGTCTGTAAAAAATAACCGTGTTCATATATTTTTTAGATTTTTTGGTTAGTGGTTACAGTATGAACTATTTACGAGAACCTTTGTGTTGAATTTCCAATCCTTAGCTATAAAAACTGAACATTTCATAATTTATTAATTACAATGATTGATAATTTCCGAGATTTTGATAAATTTTGTCAAAATTTGATCTTTAAATGCTTATAAAAAAAAACTGTGCCTATGCATTTTTAATATTTTCAACTGATATTGTAACAATATATCAGTAGCCTTGTATTAAATTTTTACACTTTTTGGCCCAACAGATAAAACTTTATTGATATTTATAGAAAAAAAAACTAAAAAAAATTGAAAGCTGTAAATGTCCATAAACAGCTCAAAAAGAGTCAAACTATTTTCAAAATTGTATGGTGTATAGGAAATGCTAATATAAACATTCAGTGAAATTTTCATGTATCTACAGTTATTCGTTTTTGAATTACAACAAAATAAGGAAATCGCTACATGAGAAATCGAGTGAACATCCAATGTTGTAAAAATTTGAATTTCAAACGCTCATAAAAATTTAATTTGACATTCCGGTAGAGATTTTTTTATTGATAAAGGTAGACAAACTTATGAGTAATCTTGTATTACATTTTAAATCTAAGATTTAAAAAGAAAAATTTTATACGAATTCTTAACTCAAAATAATTCGCTAATTTTCGTGACTTTTCCATATTTTTACAATTTTTGAACTTTAAATGCTTATAAAAAAAAAATGGGACAAAGGATTTTAAATATTTTTCATCTGCCTTTGAAACAATATATTAGGAGCCTTCTATTAAATTTTCAAGCTTTCGCAACCAACAAATACAATTTTATTAATATTTTTAGAAAAAAAATTTTAAAAAAAGGTGGGCAAGTGGGTGTCGCTCTGCTGTACAGTAGGTTACAAGTGGGTCACTGTATAATGGATGGTATTAAATTTGAATTCAATGATATAATATCATTGTATAATAAAAACGATTCTGAGCGGTGACGGTATGTCAGTCTATGTATAAGACATATTATATACATATCTATGGTATTAAAAAAAATTGACCTATAATAAATTCCAAATTAATCATATCACAATATCCATTAGATACTTATAACGCGTTATACATCAACAAAAACCGTGATACTATCATAGATATATAATAGTACACTTTAGAAGTTTCAAGTACCCACGAATAATATTATTCAATCACAACAAAATAACTAAAATAGTTATTCTAGGTTTTTTAATATGTAATTTCGTCCAAATTTGAATTTAAAATGTCTGTAAAAAATAACTGTGTTCATATATTTTTTAGATTTTTTGCTTATAGTATGAACTATTTATGAGAACCTTTGTGTTGA